GCTTTCAACAAACTGGTTGACCAGTCCAGCAACCAGGAGGCCTGGTCGGGGACCGGGCCGTGGGGACATTGAGCCCTGAAATCATCGCTAGGCAATGTAGGCCACATTTTCTAATAATGAAAATACCTCCAAGTGGATTGCAACACACCAGTTGAGAGCCGCTGGTCTAGAGGGTTAAATACATCATAATAGCTTACTAACTAACCAGTTAGTGCACTTCAATCTTCAACATAGTCCAGGACTAAAATTTACTGTCATTATATAATCATGATGAGGCACCATATATTTACTGGTATATATAGTGATTTGCTTGGGTAGCCAGAGAAGGAATATGAAATACAGTATAACAATAATCAAGTCATACTGAGCTTGGTGCTGCTTGCAGAGCTAATTCTGCCTCAGCACTGACTGCATAATCAGGCTGAGAGATAATGCCTCGTAGAGAGGGCCTCGTAGCCTGGTGGATAGCGCGCAGGACTCGTAATTCTGTGGCGCGGGTTCGATTCCCGCACGAGGCAGAAACAAATGGGCAGTTTCTTTCACCCTGAATGCCCCTGTTACCTAGCAGTAAATAGGTACCTGGGAGTTAGTCAGCTGTCACGGGCTGCTTCCTGGGGGTGGAGGCCTGGTCGAGGACCGGGCCGCGTGGACACTAAAGCCCCGAAATCATCTCAAGATAGATCATGGTAGTTACTGTACGTTCGTAATCCCTGTCATATCACCCACATAATGTCTCGATAGCAGCCCACTTAACTCTTGGGTGTGGGTCTGCCTTCTCCTAATAGGCTTAACTTCTCATTCCGTTATAATCAGTAAGGCAGGAAATAAATTTAGAATACAAAATCACTACAAACCCATTTAAGACACTTTTAAAATGGTCAAAATATTGGCAGATGCAGTCTACCAATGATAAAACTAATATTGTATCCTGAGCTTAGATAATGATAAATTGTCAAATATCACCTGAACAATATTGATATTGCAACATCTGAATAAAAAATTACTTAAGAGTCATGATTAGGATCTCACGTAAAAAAAAAAAATGTACAGAACAAAGCAACGAGGACACTGGAATTTATTACCAAAATGGTTAACAATAAGGTCTCTATATCTCTTCCACTGAAGACCCTGCAGGTAGAACAAAACCCTCCTGTAGTCCCCTTAATTGTACTCTTTTTCCCCTCTCCAATTTATTCTTTGATTTGGCATTCAATTTCAGTTAATGATGTAATCAAACAATAATGCATGGAAAGTTAAAAAAAAAAAAAAAAAAAAAATCACCAATATGAAATCACTACTAAAGAGTATTGATACACCCTGCTCCCATGTCCCATAATATATACTGTACTGTATATTGTAAAACTCAGTGTTCACAAGAAATGAGCCACAAAAAATTAGAAAACCAGCCATCTTGACACCTTAGAATACTAGATTCCGGACACCCATGGGTCAAAATCCAGGAATTAGGTACCGAATGTTATTCAAGTACTGTTGCCTTAATAGTCTGAAATGTAGGGATGTATTATATAAGCCACACCATTGTTATAATGATGAAATTCCCTTACAAATGGGTGATAGATCCAATCACAAGTGTTCAGACATGGATTTACAGCTAAATTCTGGATGCTTCAATTTTTTTTAATATCTTCATGGGTTTTGCAAGACAGCATCCATTATAGTGCCATTTTATAGAAAATCTGCTCTTTCCATTCATACATCAGATTCTGACCTAACTATTTTTAGCTTACCAAGAGCATTAATAGCTGCAAAACACACAGAACAGTACTGTTTTTACCTTAGGACAAATAATAGTATCCTGAACATAGAACCAAGACCAACAGGAGAGGGTTGAACCAGAATTGTGTGGGGATGTCCAGGAGTCAGTAGGCATTTTTCAGTGTTAATGTTTGAGTTACAGTGCATAATAAATAATATTTACTGTATGTCAACATATTTACTGTATCAAGAATAAATTTAATTTAAAAACTAGGAAATTTAAGGACTATAAATAATATTCAATACAACTTTATGGTACCTTTTCATCTCAAAATTGCAGGCCTAGCCAGAGGAACTTGGATGTTTATTTTGTATATTTTCTTTATACTGTATTTCTTTATATAATTCTGCTTGGAACTTTCTTTTGATAATTACTTACTTTATGTAATTTTTTATATTTTTTACCAAGACTCTTCATGCTGGGAAGGACCTAGGGACTAAAAAGGAGTTTTCTATTTCCATTGATGACATAGGTAGATAGGAGATACTGTGCTCTATTCATCCTTATCAATAGGGGCAACATAAATCTCTTTAATAAACAAAAGATAAAGCTTCACTTCATAAACATTCTAGATGCTCATGAAATTGTAGACAAGCATTTATTCACAGTATAGCATAACAAGTCTACTGTATAAATAAAAAGAATGCCAATACTTTAGTTCCTCTCTAGGCATGTAGTCATTATTTTATTATATATCTACATCATTTGTAAAAAACATTGTACAGGTATTACAAATGTAGCACTAATTTATGCAATGTGTCAAGACAACTTTCAGTCACATCTTCATAGTAGCTCAAATTTATTCTCAAGAAACAAAAAGATACAAACAATGTAGAACTGACACACATGTATGGAGTCCACCCCACCACTTTACTACTTAATTAATGCATTCCACTTGTTATGTATTCTGATATGGCTATAACCTACTTGTGAAAATTGTTAGCAGTAAGTAAATTAAAACAATCCAAGTACAGTAATTAGTATATGAAAACAATGAAAACAACTGGAGAGCAACAAGTATGCTAGCAATGTAACCCAAGCAATTAGTGCATAAATGTAAATTGATGAGTAACAAACTTTTCTATACAATGTAAGCTGGCAAGAATCAAGGGCACCAACAAAAAACCAAACTGGTGACAAGCATACCAAGGCTGAAACTTAGTAACGAGTGCAATCAGGTCCCAGACTCAAATTCCACAATAAGATAAAAGTATTGGGGAAACTTTTCCTTTCACCTGATGCCTCTGTTCACCTAGTAGTAAATAGGTACCTGGGAGTTAGGAAACTGTTGTGGGGAGGGTCAGTAGATAACCTAGGACCTCAAAAAGCCCAACAGGCTTCCTATAGGCAACCAAGGGGAAACCATAAAGTAAACCAAGTAACTGGCGAATAATTTGAATACTAACACTATATAAATTACTGATAAGTAATACGTGTACTAAACAAAGTAAGGAATGCTATTATCAGGCAAGTCTAAATGTAAACGAGTGAGCAACAACCACCAAAGGTCTACCTATACAATGTAAACAATAACCAAAGGTCTACCTATACAATGTAAACTGGTGAGCAATTACCATAATAAGTCTACCTATACAATGTATACTGGTGAGCAACAACCAAAACCCTATCTATACAATGTAAACAAATTGGTGAGCAACAAGTATACTAAACAGCTGACAAGTAATATTTGTACCAAGAATATATCAAGTATACTGTACCTAGACAATACAAACTTAACAAGCATGTTTATAACATGTAACGAGCATAGGTATACCCATACAAAGTACACTGGTAACAATTGTGCCATGGTTATAGTTTGAAATGTGAGAAACTGGCAAGAAACTATCAAAATACTGTAAACAACTGGTGAGAAACTGCACAAAAGTATTGTAAACAACCAGTGTGAATCTGTACAAAAATACTGTAAATAACTGGCGAGAAACTGTACCAAAATATTGTAAACTGGCGAGAATCTGTACAGAAATATTGTAAACAACTGACGAGAAACTGTACCAAAATATTGTAAGCAACAGGCAAGAAACTGTACCAAAATATTGTAAACAACTGGCAGGAAACTGTACCAAAATATTGTAAACAACTGGTAAGAAACTATACCAAAATATTGTAAACTGGTGTGAAACTGCACCAAAATATTGTAAACTGACGAGAAACTGTACCAAAATATTGTAAACAACTGGCAAGAAACTGTACCAAAATATTGTAAGCAACAGGCAAGAAACTGTACCAAAATATTGTAAACAACTGGTAAGAAACTGTACCAAAATATTGTAAACTGGTGTGAAACTGCACCAAAATATTGTAAACTAATGAGAAACTGTACTCAAACAATGTAAACAATTGATGAGAACCAAAACATTGTACACATTGTAAACAAATGATAAAACCAAAACATTATCAACCACACATGAGAAACTGAACCAAAATATTGTAAACAATTGGTAACCAAAACATTGTAAACCACTGGTGCACACTGGTGAAAACCAAATGTAGTCTATCCAATGTAAACAATGAGTATCAATTACCAGCATATACACAAATTGTCCCATTTACAACACCCTTGAATACATTAATATAGATCAGACCAAGTTATGATTGGCCAGGTAAGGAATGACATTATGTTACACTATGCTGGGTTGTGTGCCTATTTTAGGCTTAAGTGTAATGTAAACAGCCTTTAGCCAATGGCCAATATTTATTTTGGGTTTTCAGCCAAGCAAAATAATCTAGAGAATTTAAAGCAATCTGGTGGCCTCTTGTGAGTAAACAAAGTGGATTCAATTGATTAGGTACAACAATCAACATTCTTGATACATATAACTGACCAACATTGCCAAACTTGAGGAGTTACTAGGCCTATTATGCAACAACTATCAGAGCAGAATTCTGCAATTTGTGATGATGAAGGCATGCAGTGAGTGGTGACAGCTGCCACTGACAGCTCAACACTGCCCCATCCAGGTACACTGTCACACCTAAGTGTACACCAATAGTGACCTTGTGTTGTGCTCATCACATCCAGGTACACTGTCACACCTAAGTGTACACCAATAGTGACCTTGTGTTGTGCTCATCACATGTCAAATGCAACACTTGCAAAAAACTAGGCCTGCCCATGGGCCAAGGAGTTGTTAAGAGGAAAGGAGGGTGTGGGGGAGGGATACATAGGGTTGTTTAGGGTGGCAGGGTGCAGAGGGCGACTCACCCCAGGTTGTCCAGCCCTCATCCCTGCAGGCAGGACCTGTGCCTGGTTGAGGATCATCCTGGGGGCGATGGTGGCGCCCTGGGCCGTCTTCATGGCCTGGCCGGGACGCATGCTGATGATCTGCTGTATGCCCTGGGTCATGGGCACGGTGCCTGGGGTGCCGGCGGAGGGCACGGCAGTCACTGTGCCAGGCTTGGACATGATGACTGCCGTCTGGCCCACTGGACCCGCCGCTGTCACCACTTTGCTCAGTCCCTTCAGCGCCAGCTGGGCCTGCAGGCTAACTTGGGGGGCTGCTCCTGTGCCCGCCCCTGTCACGCCCCCGTTCACCACCTGCGTGCCCTGGGCGCCTGTCATGGGCGTCGGGGCCACCCCATACACCGGCTTGAGGGCTGCGGCGGCGCCCTTGGTGATGTGGGAGAGCTGAGCACCCCCCTGGAGGGCGGCGCCACCACCCGCGTTCCCGTGCACCACGCCCGCGCCTCCTGCAGTCTCCACCACCTGCACCACCCCCTGCCCAGCGCCCACGCCAGACACTACCTTCCCCGCAAACACTGCACCACTGCTCACCGCCGGGCCTCTGACCCCTATTTTACTGCAGTTAGTTCTGCCTTCCCCTACTACTGTGGCGTTGCTGGTTATCCCTCCATTAACACTAGCATTAGCAGGTTGATTTGCTGCGGTTTTCGATGCTGCAGCTAACTGGGTCTCGAGAGACCCTACAATGGTAGTGCCAGCACTCGAGTCTACGTCTGTACACAACACCTCGTCCAGGCTCTTACTGGTCGCCATCTTAGTGGTCCCAGCTTCATGCTAACACTGACCTGCGCATGCGCGGGCGGCGGTGACGTCACACTCCCGGCATGCCTCGCGACGTTCAAACTGTGACAAGTGACGCTCGCCTCGCCCTCGCCGGCCGCCACGCCTCGCCACACGCTCACACACCACCATTATATACCACCTACATGCGCAAACACACAACCAACCAACACTCTTATTTAAAACCATCGTCCTCCATTTACACATTTAAATGTTAGACACCGGGGTGGTAACGTGTTAACGACCTAAATAAATATCACAAATAAATATCCGACATGACACCTGTATATGCAATATCAACAACTCGCAAGTGTTGCTTTGACACGATGGAGTTGCTAATCCAGCAGTGGCGACGCTCGCACCTCCGCCGCCGCCAACACTGGCACCTCACACCGCTATCCGCCCTCCCGGAGAACACTACTCCACCATTTCTGTCACATCAACATATACGCTTCTAGCAAAACGCTGCCAATAATGTTTTGTAATACTTAGATCTGTCTCGTGACCCCATCAGATCTGGACCTTTGATCCTGCACAATCTGGATCTCCGCTGTCTTTGACCTCCATCAAGTCTTTGGCCTCCATCAAGTCTTTAACCTCCGTTGAGTCCATCTTCATCAAGTTCTTGGCTTTCATCGAGCCCTGGATCTCCAATAAGTCCTTGACTTCACTCGATTCTTTGACCTCCATCAAGTCCTGGATTTTCGTCAAGTCATTGACCTCTGGTAATTCCTGGATCTCTGTCCAGTTCTTGACCTCCATCAAGTCAGATTTTTTGCCTCCCCCACCTTCCCCTTCGTAATGGGCTTTATATATATACAAAATAAGATTAGATAATGTTTATTCAGGTAAAATTACATTCAAAATAAGTTACGAACATAATGTTGAATTTCTAGATAGAGCTAGTGTATACATTATTAGTGGGCCAAAGCCACTAATACGCACAACATTATCAGGGATGATTTATTACCAAACACCTTGCCAAGCACCCCGTGTGCCCGCACCGCCCCACAATCACAGCCTACAACACAAAACATTGTTTTCCTCATGGCCGCTGTATCTTTAATTACATATTAGTGTATTTAGACTATTTACCCTCGTGTTTACATGGATTTTAATGCATGAATCTATTGAAATTAATTTTCAAATTTTTATTCAATAGAATATGTGTATAAAGACAGGAGTAATGCACAATTGTGGGGACAGGAGTTACACACAATGAAGTCACTATTACGTGAAATGTTTGGGCCATTCAGAGCATATAGCTGTATCCCGTATAATCCTTAACACTAAATGTTAACTGTGTCAGCAGTTAACATACCATACCAGTTAATCCCATACTCACAAACCTTACGTTACAATGTAATTGAAAGTAAAAAATCAGAATATAGAGATAATTATATTACAAATGTTAAAAAAATGTGTATTTCAATCAAAATTATGTACTATCAGAAATCTTAGCCAAATATCATGTATATCAGTGCTTGCCCATGGCCAAACTTTTCGCCGCCGCCCACTGCATCGATGGATGTGGGGTGCATGACAAGTAACATTAAACTACATTAAAGTAATTTACCACACATAAACTGCTCAGCCTAAAGATTATTGTAGACTGCGCTTTAAATGATATCATCAATCATCATCTCAAGAAGATATGCTCTTGAGAGAGAGTTGTTGTTGATTTAGAGGCAACGATGATCAAGGGTCCTCCTAAGAAAGTAGGCAGCACTTCAGGCATATTTTGTTGTTGACTTGTTTTAGGCCGGTGTTACGACCCTGGGTTCTTCAGTGGAAACCAGAGGTCAAAATTGAGTTATTAAACTTTCCTATAGTATAGTTGAACGCATCACGAGCTGAAATTGTTTGTATCTTCCCTGCCAGACGTAAGACTATTCTTGTTTCTCAAAGAGCATTTAAAGACTGAGCTGGGGGTTGATTATTAAATAATAACATAGGCACCAACTATGTTTACTAATACTTTAATCATTTGTAAAGTAACAATATGTTGCATAGGGGAAGATTTTTAATGTGCTTAGCTGCACGATCAATTAGGCTCCTTCCGGCACCACCACATGCGGGAGGCCTAAGCTGGTCGCTGGTTCTGGCTGGCGTTCGTGGGGACGAGACCTACTCTGTGGCTGCACCCCTACTCTCCTCCCTTCTCCTCTTACTTATTTCCATTACCTTAAGTTCCTGTACCATTAAGTTAAGTACGGTGTTCTAAGTGTGCCTACTCTGGTAGTAACGATTGGTGAGACCTGGGGGTAGTATTTGCCAGTGTTTTGGGTACCCCTAAGTGTTGTGTTTTGTATTAGGGTACCACGTGGTCTCACTACCGTAAGCTGCATCCAGCTTCAGTGCTTATCCAGTAGTACTTTACCCTAGCATGTTCTCAGTGTAAACCTTGTATCCTGTCTAAGTGGACCAAGGCTTTTAACGTAAGATAGGGTGGTAAAGTTATTATTATTATTGTTATTGGTGTGAGTGTATATGGGGGGTTGTTAAGGGGTTAATAAATAAGTAAAATAGAACAGAGTATCCCTTCTTCCTGTGTGGGAGTGCATTGATCAACCCTTAGACTGACATGGTCTAGTAGCAAGTTATTATTACTGTGGATAGTTTATTTTGGGGGCCGGGCCTTTTAGCTCTCCCATATTTGATAACTTTTGAGATTTTTGAGATATATACAAGAGTTGTTACATTCTTGTACAGCCACTAGTACGCGTAGCGTTTCGGGCAAGTCCTTAATCCTATGGTCCCTGGAATACGATCCCCTGCTCTGAAGAATCGTTTTTTCATCCAAGTACACATTTTACTGTTGCGTTAAACAGAGGCTACAGTTAAGGAATTGCGCCCAGTAAATCCTCCCAGGCCAGGATACGAACCCATGACATAGCGCTCGCGGAACGCCAGGCGAGTGTCTTACCACTACACCACGGAGACTGGTGTTCAGGGCAGAAGGTAATATAAACCATGAGATCTCCCCGTCTCTGTGTTACAAGGTTTACTTTAGTCGTGAACTATGTTCAGGACTGTTGTATATTTGCTGGTTGGTCAGTAAACTATTGTGGTGGCCTTAAACACCCAGAGGTTGACAGGTCTTTACCAAAACCAAACTATAACCCCAAAATTCTATAACCTCTAACATTCTGAAACCTATTTTGTTTGCTGATGATACTACCCTCATCTACTCCAACCCCAACCCACATACACTAAATGGTGTTGTTAATAATGAACTAAAAAAAGTCCACTTATGGATGTCAACTAACACTTAACATAGAAAAGACCTACTACATCCTATTCGGAAGCAAATCTACAAATGCAATTCAGCTTCAGATTGACAATGTAAACATTAGCAATAAAAATGATGGAAAGTTTCTTGGCATATTCCTAGACAAGAGACCCAACTTCAGTACCCACATACAACACATAACTAAGAAAGTCTCTAAAACAGTTGGTATACTCTCCAAAATCAGATATTATGTTCCTAACTCTGCTCTCATCTCTCTATATTATGCACTAATCTATCCTTATCTCAACTATGGTATCTGTGCATGGGGTTCAACCACTGCAAACCACCTCAAGTCCATCATCACCCAGCAAAAATCTGCTATCAGAATAATATCAAATTCTGCTTTCAGACAACACACAGCCCCCTTGTTTAACTCCCTAAACATGCTAAACATAATCTCTCTCCACAAATTCTCCTGTGTCAACTACATTTACAAAACCCTGTTCTTAAATGCAAATCCTTGTCTGAAACTCTTCCTGGACAGATGTAATAGGAAACATTATCACCACACCAGAAATAAATATCTCTTTGATATCCCCAGAGTTAAACTTAATCTGTGTAAACACTCTATGCAAATAAAGGAACCCAGTTTATGGAACTCACTCCCTACTGAATTGAAAAGCTGTCCAACTTTTACATCATTCAAAATCAATACTAAAATGTACCTAATTTCATCTTCATAGTTTTCACTTTTTGCCTTAAAATTGCACTGTATCATTGCTACCCAATCTCCCAACCTTTATGTTCCCAATTTGAACATCTTTACCATTGTGATCATTGCTGTTTTCTTATATGTGCTGCCAATCTGTTGTATGGTGTTTATAAATCTTGTTTATCTGTATCTTTTGCTACCCAGTCTCCCAATCTTTATGTACCCAATCTGAACATCTTTACCATTGTGATCATTGCTGTCTTATATGTGCTGTCAATCTGCTGTATGGTGTCTATTAACCTTGTTTAAATTACTAATCAAGCTGTCAATGTAATCAATCAGAGCTTTAATATAACAATGTGCTTTAATATACTTACTTATCTCTCTCATCTCATTTTTCTCTTGTAATGTATCTTTATCATTTATCAATTCTGATTGAAATTACCTACTTAAAATTATCTGCTAGATTAAGGACCTGCCCGAAACGCTGCGCGTACTAGTGGCTTTACAAGAATGTAAATACTGTACTATCCAATGTATTCTCACAAACCCAATGTACCTTCTTGTATATATATAAATAAATAAATAAATAAATAAATAAATAAATAGTAAGAAGGAATACAGGTCATTGATTGGCTGGCCGCTAGCCCGCATCGCTGAGCGTCGACCAATCACCATCCTTACTGTGTCAGTTGCTGTCTCAACGCCAAGGCAAGTTGACGGGCGCGCTCCTCCTCCCCGGGCGGAGAGCCCAGGTACGTGGTACATCCTCACACAGGGCTCTGTACCCCGTACTCGTCCCGTGAACAGTACTTGTGCACCCCATACTCATCCCGTGAGCGGTAGTTTGTTGTGCACCCCATACTCGTCCCGTGAGCGGTAGTTTGTTGTGCACCCCATACTCGTCCCGTGAGCGGTAGTTTGTTGTGCACCCCATACTCGTCCCGTGAGCGGTAGTTTGTTGTGCACCCCATACTCGTCCCGTGAGCGGTAGTTTGTTGTGCACCCCATACTCGTCCCGTGAGCGGTAGTTTGTTGTGCACCCCATACTCATCCCGTGAGCGG